ACAGTGTCTCTGTCTCGCCCTCTTTGCCGTCTAGACAGGACACGGAGTCGTTTATGATTAGATGGATGGGGGGTGTGCGATAGACTTACCTCCATGTGGTGCACCCTGGGCAACGTATACTCATGCGGCAAAAAGTCTATTAACCGGCAGTTGACTTCAGACTCCAAACTACCATCATCCCACTGTATGTCAAATTCGACTACTTCAACCGTACTCACCTCACCTTTTTTCTATCTTCGTCTTTGAAACACTTCTATCCCCTCTCACTCCCCTCTCGACTTTCTTTCGCTTTGATGTTCCTCTTCCCCTCTGTGAAACCTGAAGTCAGCTAAATGGCTAATGATAACCGTCAAAACGCCTGCCATTTGAAATAAATAAATGATTAGATGGATGGTACACATCTGTCCCTTCTGCAGGCGCGATACCTTAACGAGTCTATCACGCACAACTGATGCTGTTGTTGTAGTAGTAGCAGTAGTAGTCGTGCGATAAGGTCCTCACAGCATGCCCCACCCCCCACCTAAAATCCGAATATGATTAATTCACTTCTTAGACTGTGTATCATTTATTATCTGTCTAGCCGTAGGGTTGCGCGCGAGATACGAAAGTCAAAACACGATATATATCGGGTCATTATTTTTGGCCCAACAAGAAATATTGCCCGCGAATATTAAAGGCAAATTCATAACACCGTTTCAGCACTTAAGGACAAATAAGGTATCCCTAAAAGCCAAGTGTAATTTTTAATTAGTAATTAGCAAGTTAGGACCACCCAGACTCAAATTAGGACACAGAAAACCCTCTCGACTAGTTTTAACTAGGGCGCGTAAATAGTCACCAGCATGAACCAATCAATAAACTTATAGTCCACCAAAGGAAACAGCAAATTAAGATTATCTCCATATGGCTAGGAAATTACCTTGTTCATATCTCGATCGGTGTAAAAGGAGTAGAGAGGGGGGGGGGACTCAATGATTGTAAGCGCCCATCATATCACCAGGATGATGGTATTGTGCACCAAGCGTTCCTCCATTAATTACACCTCCATGGACTGCGTATCCACCACCTCCTGGAAAGTTGGGGGGTCCACCAGTACTATTCGACGCTCCACTGATTAGTGACCTTGAGTAAGCACTGGCAGAGTTCCCAGAGGACGAAAGACCACTGAAATGCGATCGGGAATCGAGAGGGGTTGGGGGTGGCGCGGCAACCATTCGAGATCCGCAGGAGTCTCCAGTTGTTGTCGAGGTTACATTAACAGGGTACACTGGAGTCCCATTGGCAGTCGTTTGGGGGGTTTGAGGGAAGAGTGGTCTTGAGGGTGGCGGTGGGCCTTCATTACTCATCACGTAATTGGCTGCTGGGGAATAGGCTTTCCCATTACCGTTATTCCGGTAACCGTTGAAATTCTGCACTACACCCAAGTCGGTTGCTGAAGTGTCATTTGGAGAACCTGTGGGTGCTCGTGACCCATTCGTCATCATTTCATCGTTAAGGAGAAGAACACAATTATTATCTTGAGTCAATGGTGCTCCGCCTTTTCCTATTAAGTGTCCAGACTCTGGTGTTTTAGCTGTAGATAAGAAATAAGGTTCAGTTCAAGAACATTCCCCCGCAAATAGAGAAATGTATCAAAGGCAAGATCTATCAAACCCACCATTCTGAGCGCGATATCGCCTGTTCTTAAAGTACCGGACACTACAATACACTGTAAGACCGAATATTAAACCCAAATAGGCAATTGCACAATTCACTACAATCACGATCGTTCTTGCCATTCCTGGACTTAAGTTATCTTCTCCGCTTCCAAGATTAGCATAGTCGTGAGGAGCTAAAGTGAAAAACAAAATGGAATGCCATTGTTAGAACTCGACCAAAAGCTAGCCTTGAGCACGGTTAGATGATCACTGTGAAAACTTACTGAGCACACTGACATGAACACCTTGTCGTGTTTGAATGGCATGCTTGTTTCCAGCAATACAGATATACTCTCCTCCATCCTTGAGTAGGACCTGATTGATCACCAAACTACCATTAGGTAAGACTTGGATTCTCTCATCCAAAGGTCCAGATTTGATCAGTGCATTAGCTAAACTCGCTTCCTCACTATCAGGTCGAGACGAGTCGAATACATTTCCCAGCAGATTATCAGCAGTATTGGGTTGTCCTGGTATTATTGAGGAGTAGATAAACGGATCTCGTATGTTCGGACGTTTTACGACCCAACTTATCTGTGGTCTTGGGTCTCCTGAGGCCTTGCAGTTCAACAAGAGACGGCTGCCCTCTTGAATAGTCTGGTTTGTGCTGATGTCTGAAATCCTGGGCTTTTCTGTTAATTGGAAAATTGGATTTAATCTCTTTTGACAAAGTATTTCTAGGATGGAGAAAGAGGATAATAGGACACGTACCTCCAACAATAACCTTGACAGTCATCTGGATCTCCCCGTTCTGATAGTTCGATTGTGCAACGCAGACGTACTCTCCAGAATCTTGCTTCTGAACATATTGGAATATGAGTACGCCATTTTCGACTTGATTGGGTTTCTGGATGGGCATCAGACCGTTGGGAGTCTTCCTGAACCAGTTAACATTCAATTGACCATAGCCTCGCACCTTACAGGTCAATTTTCCCTGGACATTCACTTCAAGAAAGTGCTCCTTGATTTCACGGACGAATTGAAGACGTCCGCGAACCTCGATATGTTGCATCTGACCGGGGAATTTCTTCGGATAACCGTCAGTAAGGACGAAACATTGATACCGACCCTGATGGTCAATGGTAACGTGGGGAAGTCGAAGTCTTTCGCCATCACCTTCTGCCAAGATGTCCTATTGAAAGAAGACACACAGAACTGATTAGCAAAACGAGCGCAGCTCATTTTCATTGCTTTAAAAAGGCAATTTTCTGCATGCCAAAAACTTGAAGTTGGTAGAATGGCACTGCAATGGGGAATTTCTAAAATAAAAACCGATTTGAGGGGGCCAACAAACACAACCCTGCTTCACAAAGAACGCGAGGGGTGAAGCGATGATCAAATGTCCCAAAAAACGACCAAATGCGGAACTTCAAAAACCATGCCTTCTCTCCAGTCCAATTCACCTCTGTGCCTTGGCTTATTTAGTTTTGCGTTTACCGTGTGGAATAAAAGCGACGCTTTACTTGTTTCAAAGGGGATAGAAAACGAAGCGACATTTACACAGTTAGCCCAAGAAAATTGTATGACTAATGCTAATTGCGTGAATATATAATGGTTCAAACAGGTGGACTGTACATAACTACGTAATGGATAAAAAGAAAGCCATTACTCCCATTTCTGGAAATGGCGTGTGTTAGTCGCGTTTGCTTACATTTCCGTAGTTCACCAGCGGTCTTCCATCCTTCTCCCAGTAGATCCTACTTCCTGGATGGGCCCGTCTACGAATATGGCAACTAAGAATGAGAGATTGGCCTTCATCCAGTACCTGAGATTCCTGGGCTTGCTCAAACTCAGGAGGAACTAGATAAAGAGACATAAGATTAAGAAAATGCATTCAAAAACGATTCGGGTGTCGAATTTCGGGGCAAAATGATTACTCACATGAAACCATGATCTGAAAGGGTACAGATACACGACCGGCGACACTTGAGAGGATCATTTCATACCCACCACTATCACTTTCACTGGCGTCTTTAATTACCAAATGCCGTCCATTCTTAACATACGCTTTCATTTCGGATTCCGCTTTAGAGCTGTGAGCTGGGGGGACGCGTTGGGGTTCAAGGTGCCCGGGGAGAGTTCGAAACCATCTAGAACGGAGAAAGTTATTGATTAAGTGGTGCTGAGGGATTCCTCCGGGCCAATGTACATCTAGTGAACGAAATCGTCGACCGTACTAGCTATATATTACTTATAGTGGAAGTAGAATACCCATTGCATCGTAATTAAGGTGCTTCCAGTTGGATTCTTCAAACATCTAGTCTCGTATCACTAGAACCAATAAGCTTTTCTTTTAATTAGGAATATCGTTGGGAAAACAGATTCGCAAATGTTCATTTGATACTCAAAGCGAGGTGGGGGGAGGGGGAACGAGTTTCTCAGCCAGAAAGATGCGGAGAAAACTCTCATTACTCCCATTGCGTCTTTCAATAAATCACCCCCCAATGCTATTACAATTTAGAGGCCTCGACTATTCCACTTGTACACACACACACGATGAACTAGGTCGGTTAGCGCAGGTGAAGAGCGTTTCCAAAGATAATTTTGATGAGAACGCGCGTATTGCGCACCTGATTTATTGACTCCAATTTTCGCAGCAACTGCTGGTAAATCAAGCGCGCGCACACACACAGATCACTGCGAAGGGCGCAACACTATCTGATGCTGCAACGGAAAGGAAGTTGCGGAGGATGTCGTTGAATGACAAACCGAAGTTCAAGTTATGCAATTAGTGGAGATAACTCACAACCACAAAGGAATTCTCTGTTCAGTCAGTAGAAACTGAGCTCATAGCGACGATATTTGCTGATCCCATGGCACGAATATTAACCGATATCAATCAGTACACCACTATAGTTAGATCTTTCAAGAAGAGACGCCTATCAACTTATGAAAACACGGATTCTGTGATTTCAGCCAAGTGAAATTCATTTCCAACTGTGAATACTGTAAATGAAGTACTTTAGAACGGGGGTGGTTTCAATGCCCTTTTGTCTAAAAAGACAACAACAAAGACAGCGCCGTATACTTGCGTTCAGTGCTTATTCATCGGCGATACTATTAGTGACAGTGACAGTCCATCAGTCCATTAGGTAAGCAAACACACAAAAAATCCCAGGGTTGGCAGAATTTTCACGAAAATAAGCCCACGTTTAGTTACATCTAGGTTATATTTTGTGCGGTAAACAGGACCCCCAAATACCGAATTGGCCATTTTTTGGCGAATGGACGTGTTTTGGGCTAACAACCAATGGAACTTGCCAGCTACAGGAGATGAAAAAAATACTGTGAACGCGTGGGTGGAAATTAAACAACTCACTCAATCTGTGGTGGAGGATTGGAAATATTTTCAGCGGTGTAGGATTGCGATGGGGTCAGATCTTCATAGTACCGAAGCTCAAGGGTTTCACCGAGGCGAACAGCAAGAGGATGATTTTGTCGTGGACGAGGAGCGAAATTGGAGGGCTTGGGAGTGTAAAGTTCTGAAAGGAAATAACACAGTTGACGAGTGATTAATGCAAATCTAACCACTTCCACAACTTTTAAATATATATATTCGAAACCAACTGAAAAGAAACAAGGATGTGATAACCACCTTGTCCATGCTATCAGGTGAGAAAGGAGCACATAACGAATAAACAAAGGAATTGACACTCTCTGTTCAAATGCCTACCTGCAAGGTAAATCTGAAAGACGTAGAAATATATTTCTGATGTGAGGGGCGCATTGACTTCACAGGTGTAGAAGTTGGCATGAATAGCCTCAAATCGATCAATAAGCAAAGTGGAATCAGCCTCCCCCGTGACTCGGACACCCGGAAGAGAGCCGATTGGTTGCTGCTGTTCACCCAGCCGGGTCATGTAACCCCAGACAACAGAGAGAGGGGCATCCATAACTGAGGAGACAGGTAGTGGGCAAGCTAATTCAAGGGGAAGGCCCTTTAGCGCATATTTGAGAAAAGTTTTGCCGTTCATACTTGAATTGACTCGGGGTTCTGGATCATCTGAAGTGGAAAGAAAGTCAACTTATCAGCCTAAATAACAAGAGAAAGAAGGCCTCCTAAATTTCGACTTACTGGTAACCTGAAGGACAAACGGAGGTCGGCTGTCAACCTTTCCAGCAGTATGGATAACGCGACAGTGGAAGGAGCCGATATGTTCCAGACCAAAGTTGTCGATAATCAAATTTCCGCTCTGCAATACACGCATATTGGGCAAACGTCCATTGCCATTATGAAACCAGAAAATGTTGTTCATTTGTGCTGGGGGGTTGGATTTAACTCCACAAGCTAGTTCGACTACGCCTTTGAGTCTAATATCTTCAATTCGAGAGGGTTGGATGAGTTTCACCTCAATCTCGGGATCCATCCCTGCGGTAAAGACGAAAAATTACTAAACGCCTTACCCAGGAAGATTCATACAATCGTTGCAACCATCTCACTTTACTATTTTCGCAGAAACATTCCATTGTTGATTGGAGGTTTATCCTAGAATTAATTCAATTGGGTAGGTTTTTGAGTAAGCTATATTAGTGCCCAAATATGTCGGAGTGAGAACTAAGAATATCAGCATTTTACCTTTTTTCTCTACCTTTGTGTCTATCTTTTTTACATCTATGAATCACTTCTGTTCCCCACCCCCCCCCCCCCCAACCCCACCCACACCCCCTACCTCTCACGAATGTTGTTACTTTGATGCGCTCTGTGAAGCTCGAAGTTAACTAAAGGGTTAATGAGATAACTATCATAAAGCCTGTCATTTGATATAAATAAATATCCGAGAGAGCTTCTTTGTGCCTTATCAAACACTAATTGTAGGCATACCAAGAAGATTCAGTAACTCGAAACCTTGGCTGTGGAGATCAGATAAGTGTATACAGGGGAAGGTCTGACCTCATGAGTGCAAAGTCCCATCTTCGAATAACTCATCCCCTACTGCATGTACACACAGCCGTCAGCACCACCAAACTCTGTATGCACGATTAATCATTCAACGCCGCATGCCTGGTTGTGCGCGCGTGTGTGTCTGGTTTCTGTCCCGACAAAGGTCGCCCAGCCTTCTCCCCTCTTCCCCCCCACCCACCCACCCACCCACAACAACTCCCTTAAGCCGCCTAAACAAAAATGCAGCGGACTGGCTGCCGCTCCTCATCTATCAATGCACACACACACATACACAGCGAGAGAGAGAGAGAGAGAGAGATGTGGACATGTAGAACGCACGCGCGCTTTCTTCAAAGAGGAATATATGCGTGGGGACTGAAATAAATTAATCACAGAGGCCTCTCTCTCTCAATGCTTCTAATGCCACTGCCACAGCACGCAACGTGTTACCGCACACCAGTTGTTGTGCTGGGGGCTATCTGTGACATTCTTAGAGAAAAGAGGCAGAGAGAGAGATAGGGAGTTGGAGGGCTAGTATTATTAATCTTACTGTCTGCGCATTTTTACGTGTGGGAGATGAATGATCTTCCCTACACCTTCTTCTTTCTAAATATGCCAGGCGATCGTGGTCACGGCTTCATAAGGGAGTGAGTGAGAGAAAGAGCGGGAGAGAGAGAGAATCTAACATGCTATCAAAAACACTTTCTTTTTTCGGCACTTCTCGCGCCTCCAACTGACTAAACTCGATATTGGCGTCGGCATATCTTCAATAATGATTGCCGCTTTCATAAACACACGCTGAACCCTTCTCCTTTAATATATCTCCCGTAATTTCTTCCAGAGTCAGAGGAAAAGGGTATTCCGAGAGTTTTATGGCAACCAACGCGCCTCATCAACCCATTTAGAGGCCTAGAAACACGCTGGGAAGAACCGTTCGAAAAGAAAGAAAGCTCAATGAAAGGGTCTCAGAGTAGGGCAAAAGGTGAGATGTGATGGACTTAAAATGTGATACTGTCAAGATGTCATTCTGTCGTATAATCTAAGATCATCAGAATAGAAGGCATTGGGGTGCCATAAACAAGATATGGCACTCTTGTTTTGAAAAACTCTGACCAATATCGAAGAATGAACAATTAACTAAATCCAAAGCTCAGGACTTACTTCCACGGGGTGAAAACTGGGCAACGTATGCTCATATGGCCAAACAGTCGATTAAGCGTCAGTTGACTTCTGACTACCATGACCCCACTGTAAGCCATATTCAACCACTTACACAGTACTCATCTTACCTTTTCTCCGCCTTTGTCTCTCTCTTTTACGTCTGTGAATCACTCTTCTGTACTCCACCCCTCGACTTTTTTTCACTTTGATGTTTCACCCCTCTGTGAAACCCGAAGTCAACTAAAGGGTTAATGATAACTATCAAAACGCCCGCCATTTGAAATAAATAAGACAACGCATAGCCATAGCAAGAAACCCGAATCTACTACATTATCCAAATTCATTGGGAATTCCTAATAAGTCAAACGAAAATTTCAATTTAATACTGTACCGGTACAAGTTTCCACCTAAAGTGTGACCCCCACCAATTCTACCTGGTAATCAAGAGCTGAAGACCAAAGAGAACTAATGATGGAAATCGGTTTCATGGTCCCTTTAGAGCATTCAATTTGATTAAACCAAATCCTATGGATTAATTTCATTAAAAGTTCAAGAAAACACATCAGACCTAGTCTGATTTCAGAAGCAAAACACACTTGAGGTTAATACCAAATACAAATTGCAACTTACAGTACACATTAATCGAAGCCTCTCGACTAGCGCTCATAAACTTTGAGGTCTTATTGAGAGCCTGACATTGGTATCTTCCCGGATCAATATCCCGATCTGCGTGAAGAATTCGCAAATTTGAATCTCCCTCCAGATATCGTCTTCCACTCTGTTTATCTGGGTCAATTCGCATTCCATTCTGAACCCAAGAGTAGTGAATATCATCATTCGGTTGAACAGCACACTCCAATCTCAATGGTTGACCTTCTTTTACATCCTGATCCCGCGGTGATCGAGTGAAGTAGAAGCTGTCTGTCGAAGCACCTATATCCACCAATGCAAATCAGTCGATCAGTTGGATATATAAACTAAGAGAACTTCGCGACAATTAATCTAACATATGTGGGGTGAATAGTTAAGATTAGCTTTATGGACCAATGCGTAAATCAGCAAAGCTTGAAAGTCAGCCAGATGTTAAGCCAGTTTTGCTGAAGTTGCCCAACCAATGTGAACCCCCCCCCCCCCTATCTATGAACCAACTGATTCTAGACAACGAAGAACTTAGATAGCAGACACAGTAGGAACCAGATGTCTAAATTTCATCAAGATCAGACTCATCTTCTCGACTCGACAACAAAATGGTCTGTAAAAAGAAGCTAACGAAATAATCAGCCAATAAAACACAACGACAATGCACGTCTCACAAATCTCACATGAGACTTATGTTTAACCACAAACAAATCATTTTCGATTAAAAAAATTGGATGAGAGAGAGAGAGAGGGGGAACAAGAGCCCAAGTTAGAGAGGCATTGAAGACAAAGTAGTGAATCACTAAACGCGATGTACCGAAAGCATCGACGGCACAAGCATATGGAAAGGAGTTCCAAATGCAGGTTAATGCGCAGTACCCATGGAAAACACGTATCTCCCCATCTAAACCAACCAAGGGGCTTTACTCAAGGTGGCGGGTAATTAAGAGATCAGAAATAGTAATTGTACAGAAGACCATCTAAGGATGAAAATTATCCCATTTGTGACCAGGTGGTTGTGACGCACGAATATAAACAATGAGGATACTTCTTAGATAAGATGACCCCGTTCCCAGACGCATCCTCTTCCCAGTTGAATTATGATAGAAGCGACGATTCTGAACACGAGAACTGACAAGAGTAAATCAATTGTAATTAATAAGACACAGAGACGACCCCTTCCGATAAAACAGTCCCAGGAAAGGAAGGGTTGTTCACAAATGTCGCTCGACTTTAAGCAAGATGATTAAGCTCATACGGCGGCCTAGCACTGAATAAACTATGAACTTCTTCTAAGATCGAAAACCAACATATAACTTACACCAAATCTCGGGAGTATGCAGCAATAATAGAACGAGGAGAGATGGGATGGAAATCCAACAATGAGACATGTCTAAACGGCTTTGACGACTAATCTAATCTATTCAGACATGCAGAAACAGTTGATTGTGCGAGAGGTAGGTTCCAACCGAACTGAAACTCGCGGCGTTAACTCGTGGTTGAATGAATGTTTTTGTGTGTGCTAGTGATGTGCGGCCGTCCTCCGTGTGATGTTAGCGTCTTGTATGGTGGCGGTAAAGTGACGTTTGCCTTCTATTACTTGATGTGTATTAACATGCACGCGCGCACCCTCTACCGCCAATCGACCAATTAAATTGTGGGCGTACGATTCGATGATTGGTCAATGCCAAGGATGAATTCCAGTTAGTCCTCCCTTGGAGTCTTATCAAATTTGGTTTATGACTAGAGAATGGAACTTGATCCCATTGATTTTTCTTTATGATTTGAAAGAAATTTAGTCTGATAAACTTGATCAACTAGGTGATCGAAATCGGAGAATTTAAAATGGGTTAAAATAACAAATAGCTAAAGCATGGCTATCACAGTTGTAAGAACAGATTAAATTGCATCGGTTCGGCTTGAACAACTTGTTTATCTAAACATAGAGATATCACATAATTTGGCGCTATTGGGTTGTTAGTCAGCAAAAATGAAAACAGTGAACATTCTTTATCACCTCACAGATTTCGGACGCCGAATTTATGAGACTGGACTGCAAAAGGAAACAGCAGCAGCAACAACGGCAGCATATAGTCTCATCTTACCGGTGGCAACCTCAAACACCACGTGCCAGATGACTTCAAAGATGCGATTTCCGATGAACCGATTAGATCAAATATCCGTCATAAAAGACTCGGTCAGTATGAAGCTCAGTCAGACTTCAGCTTCCTTATTTGAATACAAACTTCTAAATTTTGCTTCAATAAAGCATAGAAAGTTTGCGAAATTTTTTTATTAATGATAATTCATTAGGCCACAACTACTTCCTAATGCCAAGTTCCTCAAATATCTGTCTTAGGAAAATTGAACAATGCGTAGTCGGTGTAAATAAATAATAAGATTAAAAAATTACAGAAGTAGGAAATAAGCATGAAAGGAAAAATAGTTAAATTAAATTTTGTCATATGCTCTCTAGAATATGGTTAAATTGAGGACCTGCAAAGGCAGTAATCAAAAGTCCAAATGCCAAGTATTTAAACAAAAATCGCGTTGCCACTAAAGTTATTTCCATATTGTGCATCTTACACTGTTGATATATGTCCCTAAATGCACCTTGGCTTCTCACAGAACAAGAAGCTGCGGTTAGTATGATAAATATCGCACACGATGAACTTCTAGGAAGGAATTTGGAGTGGAAATCCGAAACGCAAAGGGGATAATAGTAGCCACTTCTGTGGGGTTAATGCTACCGCTAAGAAGTGTGTACTGTTCAAGCTTTCAAATATATTGGCAAATTTCTGCACTTAGTAGGGGTATTCTAATCTTAAACCCAACTCAACGTTAGAATACTACTGGAATTCCCTTAAGATATTTTCCATTCAAAGTTTGTGACTAATCCGATTAAGATTTCCCCGACTTAGTGTGACGGTTTCAATGAAAAGCTATCAGGTTCGAACTTTCAATTGAAATTTAGTTGAAAAAGGCTTCGTGAAAATCTTAGCGTCCATTTGTCTTCAACATTCATAAAATATGCCCACTGTTTGAAAGCAAAAACAATTGCTACTAACAAAGTATCAGTAGGCGTCCATTCTCAAATGAGCATAATCACATAGAATATCGCATGTAAATAGACCATTTTGGAAGGAAGTGAAATTATTCGTTTAATAAGCTCAAAAATAAAATTCTAATTCAATTAATATACGTGAGCAGCGAAGTTGGCCTATTTATCTCTTACGTCATTAATTAAGCAAGCTACAAATTTAAAATTAATTAATGTGCTTACATCAGCATCAAAAATTGTTATTTGCAAAATACTATGAAATAATCTTAAAAACAAAACGAAAGACCCATTCGAAATTGTATAGATAACTGGGCTTTAAGGTGCTCAAGTTAGATTAACTGTGGAGTCCACTAATATTTAGGAGTTCATTTTAGATCCAAAATAAATTTTTTATAAGATAGCTAAAATTTCATAAATGCGCTCTCAGAGTGGTTAAGATTGCATCAGAAGTAACTGTCGTAACAGACTACGGTAGCTATTTATTACGCTCCCCTACAGAGAGGGCATTGGCCAAATAACGCTCTCGACTAGCTAAATAGGGGATAATCACGTGATCACTGCTAAGGGAACAATAAAACCCATCGCAAAAAAATTAATCGATACTGCAAGCCTTTAAATAGCCAACTAACTTGTGAAGAGATCAAGTTAAAATGGCTTAAAGCGACAGTTGACTTCTTTCACATACATAAGATTAAGTGTGCCCTCATAAGTAATATTCGTGCTCTTTTGAATTTAGTATCAATATTTATTGTACGTTTGGCCAGGAAATGACCAAGCTAATCCTTCCAGAAGTAGGCTTGTGCTTCGATATTGATTTTTCATCCCACCAACGCTTTTCTTTATCGATCGATTGGCTAAACGCTCATTTGATAAGACGCAGAGAGAGGAAAAGTGTATGCAAATGCATACAAACACGACACAGGAATGAAGGTTGAGAAAATAAGGTGGGATTTAGTACTAAATGTACTTAGTGTGCGCGCGTCATGAATTATGTTAGTCCCGCCACAATAGAGGAGTGAAAGTTATACTCTACATATTCATCCAAAAACATACGCGCGCATAGAAACGTAAATGAAAGCCATGATTTACATTCTACTCTCTCTCTCTCTCACGTCGCGTATACATTCTACACGTCATGAAACACATAAATCAACGCACGACATGCATACATAATTATTGCCAGCTCGCCTGCTTAGTCTAACCGCAAGTACTTGTGTCAACAAGATAGTTTTCCCCATCAATTTTTCTCTGGTCGTCATTGTTTATGGCTATTCGAAAGAAATGATTAGCTAAGACAGTGCATCTACTGAAAATAGCACAAGTTGGACACAAGAGAGAGAAAGAGAGAGAGAGAGAGATACCTTAATAACCGGCTGACTACTGCATAAATTGCTAATGAGTCAGTCAATTTTGGAAGTCGTTTCTCTTTTTTTTCCAATGACAGAACAATCGAGCGCCCTCTCTCAAGAATGTCTCCCTCCTTTGTCAGACGTTAAGATGCGAGAGAGAGAGAGAGAACAATTTCGATGTCGATGTTTTCCCCCTTGGTGGGGGGGGGGGGGGGGGGGGGGGGGGTAAAGGAGTGCGTATCTTCGTTAAAATAACATAAAAAGTAGACCAACTGACTCAAAAAATTTCCAACTGTTTCTAACTCTGCTCAAATTTAAGATTTTCACCTCCAAGGTGGAGGTGTGCGATTGTTACATTTTTGAGACATGTGCTCGTGTTCTCACTCAAATGCGCAAAAAAGCATGTTGTCACCTGATGGCAACAAAACTGCCACTTTGAATCCGACTACGTGGACCTGACGGACAATACCTGATTAGGAGACAGAATGTGAGAAGAAATAACGGGTCGAGGAAGTAGGACTAGGGATTAGATGACACGGTGAGATGGAATTGGTCTAACGAAAATATGTGGGTCTGTGAAAAAGCCTATTTCAAAATATCGTGTAGATTTTGAAATCCACTGTCATTATCGATACACAGTGAATGGGAAGTTCTCAGCTAGAAATATTTCAAGATATACGGTTCCAACGAGGACCGCTAATTTGTTGAAATTCCCATAACCTATTATAGCTAGAACTTCTTTCGGTCTGAATTGACTTCAAAATCTATTAGTCATTGCAGTGCTAAATTTAATTCAAACCACTAAAGTTGGACGCTGAAGATAATGTGATGTAAAAACTATTGGCATTGGAGACATAAAACGCTCACTAGAATGTAGTCAATACCATTGGTGGCATAGCGTTTTATATGTAGCTTCGGAATAAGCGCATTATCAAGAAGCCAGTCCCTTTTAAGGAGCACAAGTACCAGCCAAATGGAAAAAAAGGCTTTCCCAACTATCGGTTTGACCAAAATATTCCTTATTTGACTGTCTTACTCAAGTTGTTCAGGTATTCAATAAACTGAACCTAAAATAAAAAGCACTGACAGAACAGGGTTCCCAAACGACTGCCAAAATCGTTTAGACCAATCGATTTCAACTATCTTTGAAACAGGAGATTGAAATTACTACCCCTTCCCCCCCCCC